GCGCCCCCTTTGGAATATAAGCGTCCTATGTATAGTCATCAGAGACATCCCTATATGTCCCACAGTTGTCGCATACAATGTGCGCTTATCATAGGCGTCTCTCTTTTATAGACACTTGAAGGCGTCTCTCTTTGCCATGCCGGCGCCCCTGTTTCTTATCAATGCACCCCCATGGCATTGATCAATTGCAATTTGCAGACCTCTATTGCATGTGGACGCCCATATATGTAGGCCTCAGAGGCGCCCCTCTTTCGCATTGAGGCGCCCCTATGGGCTTCATAGGCGCCCCTCTATTGCACGTAGGTGCCCTACTGTCTCAGAACCGCTCCCCTTTGGCATGCAGACGCCCATCTTTCGCACGGAGGAGCCGCTGTGGTTCTTAGAGACGGCATGGTGCTCCCAGACGCAGATGGGGCTCTCGGAGTCGACGGTGTGGGACCTTCAGTCGCTGATGGGTGCCCGCCAGATGTGGATCCTCGGAGACGCCGGTATGGGGCCCTTAGAGACGCCGGTGTGGAACCCTCAGATACTTCAGTGTGAAGCCCTTACAATTGCTGGTGTGGAGCTATGAATGTGCTGGCTTAAATCCCTGAGTGGCCGGTACATGGACATTAGAGCTCAGTGAGAGCTTGTGTGGTGCCTTCAGCGGCCTTGTGGAGCCGTTAGACATCAACATGGTGCTCTTAGAAGCCGGTGAGTCCTCAGAGTCACCGGTGTGGGGCCTTCAGATGTACCTATAGAGCCTTGAGATGCACAGGTGTGGTGGCCCACAGAGGCGCCGGTGTGGGGCCCCCAGAGCCACCGATATAGGGCCCTAAGAGACACTAGTATGACCCTCAAAGGCGCCGCTGTGTGGCGCTCATAAACACTGGTGTGGAACCATCACAGGCGGGTGGAGCCGTTAGAGGCCAGAAAAGGGCCCTTAGATGCCTACAAGGAGCCTTCAGAAGCCGGCGTGGCACCCTTATGGGGATAAGCGTGTCTACTTAGGAGCCCTTGAGGTGCTCTCATGAGCTCTGTGGGGCCCTACCGAGCCGAAATATGGCCACGGCCAGCTGCCGCCGCATGGCTCTTCGGACTATCATTCTCAGGGGCCTCATCTGCCTAGTTTGAATAGAAGGGCCTCTAAGACCATCAGTCTCATGGGCCTCCTCTGGCTAGTAGAAATAGAAGGGCCTGTTAGACCATCAATCCTAGGGGCTTCCTCTGGTTAGTATAAATAGAAGAGCCTCTCAGACCATTAATCTCAGAGGGCTCCTGTGGACAGTGTAAATAAAAGGGCCTCTCAGACCATCAGTCTCGGGGGCCTCCCTAGGAAAGTGTAAATGTGGATAGAGGGCCCCCTCAGATTCATTAGGAGTGGACCTCTCTGACTATCAGTCTCAGGGGCCTCTTGTGGCCAGTATGAATATAAGAGCCTCTCAGACCATCGGTCTCAGGGGCCTCTTCTGACTAGTGTGGATAGAGGGCCCTCCCAGACCACCGGTTTCAGGGGCCTCCAGTGGCCAGTTATATGAACAGAAGGGCCTCACAGCCATCAGCCTCGGGGGCCTCTTCTGACTGGTGTGAATATGAGGGCCTCTCATACCATCAGTCTCAGGGGCCTCCTCTGCCTAGTGTGAATATAAGGGCTTCCCAGGTCATCAGTCTCAGGGGACTTCTGACTGGTGCCGGATTGAGGGACCTCCCAGACCGAAAGTTTTGGGGGTTTCCTGTGGCCAGTATGAATAGAAGGGCCTCTCAGTCGTTCAGTCTCATGGGCCTCTTCTGCCTGGTGAGACTATAAGGGTCTCTCAGGTCATCAGTCTCAGGGGCCTCCTCTGACTACAGTGTAGATGGATAGGCCTCCCAGACCATCAGTCTCAGGGGCCTCTTCTGACTATTGAGGATAGAGGGGCCTCCTCTGACTAGTGAGGGTAGGGGGCCTCGGCTAGACCGCCAGTGTCAGGGGCCTATTCTGACTAGTGTGGATGGAGGGGCCTCCCAGAACACCAGTCTCAGACCTCTGACTAGTGTGGATAGAGGGGCCTCCCAGACCGCCAGTGTCAGGGGCCTCCCCAGACCAGTGTGGATATTGGGGCCTCCTCAGATCCACTAGGGTCTCTCAGGCCATCGGTCTCAGGGGCTTCGACTGACAAGTATGAACAGAGGGCCTCCTTAGATCCATCACGGCCCCTTGGAGTCCGTGCGTGGGCGGAATTCGTGGAACTTATTTTTACCGAGTTTGTTTATTCTGGAAGGTGACGACGTCTTCTCAAATCGAGACGAGGGGCCTCGAGTAAAAAGTGGGTGGGCCAAAACACATGGTTGGCCCCCCCACCTCGAAAAGTGGGTGGGCACTTGCCTACCTGGCCCCCCCCCCCCCTGTTCCTACGCCTATGTCGGTAGTGATCATTCATTCGAGTCACTTGGGTGATTCATTAACCCTCGCCCCGTTGGGGGGGGACTAATTTGGCCCCCCTGTGGTTTTTCCTGAATAGCAGGAAAACGGCGGCGCGCAGCGCCGCCGCCGCCGGGCATCAATTTAACACCTTCACACCGAATTTCAAGTCTTAGGTCACCTTAGGTCAGGAGTTATTGAGGTCAAACTGAGGTCATGTTCGAGCAAAAATGAGCAAAAAAAACATGCAATCTTGAAACGCTCACCAAATCTACAGTTACCAAGCAATTTCAAAGTTCTTTATATGGTCTGGTAGACAAAAGCGCTACAAAAATGCTATCTCGGATTTTCAAAATTTTGGGTTTTTGACCCCAAAAATTCTAAAATTGATTTTTTTTAAAGAAAAACTAATAAAAAATAAAAATCCGAATTTCGAAAAAACCGGAATATATGTGATAGTCCCTGCGCTCTTCTATATACATACCAAATTTCAGATCGATATCTCGTTTTTTGGCCAAGTTATAGCGAAAAAAGCTGTTCAAAAATGATGTCAAATTTTTTAACTCAATTTTTAGCGATTCTAGATCACATAGGGCAAAACAAAGACCACCATCGAACTCCCAGTGACGAGCTGCATCGAATCGTTACCCATTTTATGCAAACATATTAACTTTGAAATTTGATCTAACTTGACCTGACCTTCACCAGAACATAATCTAAACTGACCCCAAAGGCTGCCTGACACACATAATCGTATTTGACATATAAAATGGACCATAATACATGCATCACATGATATTTTCATATTGTGACCCTCAGTGACCTGACCTGGTATCACTGACCTCAAATAGCAAAATATGTGTTTGATGAACGTTTCCCCCATCGATGTTTTTCAATGAAATGCATTTTACTCGATTTTATAACGCATTTCTTGAAATACCTGTAAACTGTGAAAATTCGACCTTTGATCTGACCTGTGACGTCATCGGTTTGACCTAGGTCAATAAAATTGGGTCACGAGGTAGTTCCCTGATAGAGCTATCCAACATCGTTTGCCGCTTGTCGCTAGGTTGCGTGGTTCTCGAGATCTGGGGGGGGGGGGGAGCAAATTGCCCCCCCCCCAACAGGGCGCGTTGCTGAGCCCAACGGGGCGCGGGTTAACCCGCGCCCTGCTGGGGGGGTGTTTGAACACCCCCCTTGTGGTTTTTCGCGAATATCTCAAAAACGGCGGCGCGGAGCGACGCCGTTTTTGGTATACCTTATCATACATCAATTCTACACATGTTGTGAAAATTTCAGACCAAGGTCATTCAAGGTCAGGTCACCAGGTCACTTGAAGTGACCTCACCTCATAAAAAAGTTTCAATGTCTGTCATAGCTACACCGAGTGACCGATCGCTTTGAAACTTTCAGCGATTGATAAGAGTAACAGTATCTATAAAATGTATATCTCGGAATTTTGATATCGGTGACCTAAGGTCAGGTCAATTTTGCGACCTCCCCATTATAAGTCAATGGGAGAAAATTGCAATGCGCCTCTTTTGGACGAAAGACATTATAAACACTCCCAAACACTGAATTACAAGTGGTTTAGTCACACTGAACATGAAAATGGTGTCCGTGACCCTTGTTTATGCCCTGAGGTCATCTTAGGTCACGAATTGTATCTAACAGTTTTTCGCAAATAACTTTTGATAGAGGCATGCTAGAGCGATGAAAACGCCTTAGATGTGTTCAGCTCGACGATACAGATCGACTGATATGCAACATGACCCTTTCCGGTCAGGTCATGACCTTGACCTGAGGTCAAATTTTCAAGTTGACCTTTCAAGGTCAAGTTATAGTTCATTCGATGCGTCTTGGCGAGAGGAACACGATGCCGGTAAAAGTAAGCTCGTACAAGGCTTGGGTCAAAAGTTATTGCCGAAAAACTGTTTCCGAAAAAACCGGCTATTTTTGCAGTTTTTGCCCCCTGCAGGCAAAACCGTTGACGTTAGGTCAAATCTGAGAGAATTACTCAGAAAGGGCGTTAATAGGGCTATCGAATGCGCTTTTCCGCGGCGCTGTAGCTCTATTGGTTCCCGAGTTATGCGTTGGCTTCTTGGAAATTTTCGATATTCGACCTGTCGGCGAAATTTTGCCTTCAATGACCTCTGGTGACCTGACCTTTGACCTGACCAAAAAATTGACCGAAGTGATTTCGTCATTGTTTTTGACGCTCTTTCGAACGCCGCCTTCCGCGTATCGCTACGTGGCCCAGGAGCCGAGTTACAAGGGGGGGGGTGTTCAAACACACACCCCCCCCCCCCCCAGCAGGGCGTGGAAATCCAGGACCCCCAGCCGGGCGCGGGTTAATAGCGAGCCCCCAGTAAATCATGCGTGACTTGTCATGTAAATTCTTTCTGACAGGCAAATTTTAACAGGTCAGCGAGAGCATAAGCCAATGGTATATAATACGTCAAGGCATCTATGTGCCAGCGGCGCAAGAAAGGCCGTGGTTAGGAGTTAGGGCGGCTAATCGGGATCAGGTGTTGGCCGGCACCGTTACTGGCACATTGCGTGCGAGGTGCGGTGACCGGCAGCTGCGGCTGATGCGCCGCGCGCCGGTCAATGAACGCACCTGGGCGGTCGGCGCTGGCCGCGCGCTGGTCGCTGCTGGCCCTGCGCTGGTCGCTGCTGGCCCTGCGCTGGTCGCTGCTGGCCCCGCGCTGGTCGGCCGGCTCCGTCAGCTCCTTCTCAGCACCTTCCTCACTCCGCTCACTCCTGTGCCTGCGAACAGAGCCACCGATAGCGGCGTGACAGACGGCGGAACACGCCCACCGACAGCGGGACGGCGGAACACGACCACCGGCACCGTCCATTTGAGAACACACACCGGCCGGAAGGAGCGCTTTGACTAGCTTACCTAGGTAGTGAAGTCACCTTTGTTACAATTTGAAAGACGTTTTCGACAAAAAAAAAAAAACGCACTTCAAAACGATGTAGAAATGAGCTATAAGCTATAAAAAACAGATTGGCACATTATTAAAACTCTAGTTGTCTTGTGGACGGTGTCTAGTGAATAATCAGCAGTAGGAGTGACAAAATCCCCCCCCCCCTCCCCCTTGTCAATAGTGGGTCAATAGTGGTAAGTCCCATTAGTAACCATAGTTAGAAGCAGGAGCCTTATGTATGTTTGTAATGTAAGTACGTTCTGCTACTTTAAGCACGTCCTCACGTTTGTACTACGTAGCACTGCATATTGACAGGTATATTCTGCCGCAATCGGTCTTACTCGATAGTCGACAGCCTATACTAACCGTGGACAACAGCCAAAGACCACCACATCTGAACTGATGAGAAAAAAAAGGAGCTCAAGGCACCCGCAATAGCACCCCGTCACCCCACCAACCTCCACAGAAGCAATCACCGTCCACAGGACTGCATGTGCTAACGGTGACCGCGACAGGTAGCAAATCGCCGTTCTGTATATCATACTGAACGAGGCGGGTGTAAATAAATTTTCGAGACCGAGGTCCTTACTGGATTTTTGAACGAGACCAAAGGCCGAGTTCACAATCAGTAAGGAACACGGACGTATAATTAAACGTCCGTAGTATGGACGTTTATTTATACGTCCGTGTTAAGGAATGAGGTCTTGAAAATTTATCACCGGCCGAGTTTGGTAATTGGTACGTATTTTACTGTATGCAGTAGGTATGCAGTATGCAGTGCAGTGTGCTTCTAGTATGCCCAATATCCGAAATACACAAGATGTTTTCCATTATTTTCTTCAGGAGGGCCACACCTCCGGGACAAACTGAACTACATGCTAATATTCAAATTCCGGGTGTCCTGGTATTATCACTCAGTCGAGGGTGGAGGGCAAGTACAAATAAATTAGAGCCAATGAAACACCGTCGGAGAGAAGGCGAGGCAGTACCTCCTCATTTTCAGTCACACCCAGGCAGTGAGGAGAAACCCCCCAAATTTGCAGTGGGAAACCCGTCATCAAATGCACGGATGGTTGGCATTCCCAATTTCCCAATCACTGAGTCAGAAGAATCATGATTAATCGGATAAAACTTCAGTGCAGTTTTTTTTTTCATCGGATTTCCCAGAACCAACGTATGCAGTGATGCCTGCGTGCTTAAAAAGCATGGGTCCCGAGTCAAACAGCCGCCGATAACGCAGTCCGCACTGACAGCCAGCTGGGAGTTAGGTAAGAGGGCGAGAGGCGGCGGCCGTCTCGTAAACGTCAGCGTAGAGCTCCGTCAGCCGGGCCGCCGCCGACGCCGAGAGGCCGGCCGGCGCTGACGAGCCGAGGCCGACCCATCCCCGGCGGGCGCGCGCCGGATCCGGAGGCCGGAACCGGCCCGGCTCGCCCACCCCACAGCGGTCCCAGGCGGCCGCCACAACAACGCAGTCGAGCGTCAGCCGGCAGTGACATCAACGGACCGAGACCAGCCCCTGGCAGTCCGGGCCCCGCAGCGGCGGGCTGACTGGCAGTCCGGGCCCGGCAGCCACGGGCAAACAGGCAGTCCGGGCCCGGCAGCGGCGGGCTGACAGGCAGTCCGGGCCCGGCAGCGACGGGCTAACAGGCAGTCCGGACCCGGCAGGGACCCAGCTGATGGACTGGGCCCAGCAGGGGCTGGTTAGGTAGCGGTCCGTGTCCAGAGGGACTGGCTAGCTGATAGTCAGGGTCCAATAGGGACTGGGGACTGGTCGGGGTCGCGGCAGATACTGGTTGGGGTCACAAGGAAGACTGGTCGGGGTCGCGGGTAGGTCGGGGTCACGGGTAAGACTGGTCGGGGTGGCGGCAGATACTGGTTGGGGTCACAAGGAAGACTGGTCAGGGTCACGGGTAGGTCGGGGTCACGGGTAAGACTGGTCGGGGTCGCGGCAGGGACTGGTCGGGGTCACGGGTAAGACTGGTAGGGGTCGCGGGTAGGTCGGGGTCACGGTTAAGACTGGTCGGGGTCGCGGGTAGGTCGGGGTCACGGGTAAGACTGGTCGGGGTCGCGGCCGATACTGGTTGAGCCACGGCCACACCGGACCGTGTCGGTCAGATGTGGCCGGAGGCGGTCGGCCAACCGGATATCTCCGCACCCATAAGCCGGCAGTTACGTGCGACTTGTTAGCTCGCTTGAATTGTTGCCTGGACCGCCCTGCAATAAAACTGACAAGCTTTCAAGCAGCAACTCTTGGAACGCGCAGACCCGATCCTTCCCGAGCCCGGCTGACGGGAGTGACGCATTTTGGGGAACTGTATTCGGGCAGCGTCGCGGGAACGGACTATTCAGCCGCAACTAAATAAGGCACCGTTCACAGTCAAGGTGTGCCTAGCGCATCTTTTCTCGGCTGATTGCGAGCGAGCGGAGTCTTGCGTAGAATAGTTCGTACTCTTTTGTGGAATAGTAGAAATTTCTCAGTTTAAACGGCATGCCGGCCATGGGGACGCTTTTGCGAGGCTTATATCTTCGCAAACACTGGACACGGTATTTTTGTAGGGTATGTATAATGTAGCTTCATCCCTTCTATCAACTATTGGACTATCCCGATGCATGTGGGTGGCCCCTATTGCATCCGCCGCGTGCAAAACGAAGAAACGTCAGTTTTGTAACGATTACAATAACTCGGTAACTTCTGGGCCGATTGCGCTGAAACGGGAAACCTCACATGCTTCCATTTGTCACGGTTGGGTTGCTACTGCACGTGCGCACGCGCAGGGGTTACTTTCAGATCTCGAGAACGACTGGAACGATTGCATTCAAATTTGGTACACGGTTAGGGACCGGCGAGAAGGGCGCCGTGCACAAGTCAATTGGGTTCCAGCTCGCACGTGCGCACATGCAGGGCGACGCTTCCAGATCTTAAGAACGGCTGGGCCGATTGCGCTCAAATTTGGCACGCCGTTAGACACCGGTTAGCACGGTGCCGTGCACAGCTCAGTTTGAAGTACTTCCTTGATACCGGACGTGCAAGGCTCACTCGAAAAAACTTATCTACGCAAAACCCTCTCACTCGCTCGTTTGTCGCCCCAAAAGGCGTCCTATTGGTTGCACTGATAGCACGATCCGTTGATATTCGACAGGTTAATGCACGGCAAAGATGACTCTCGAAGGTTTAACAGGTAGAACGCAATAGATCTGAGCGTACGTCACCAAGAGGCGCTCCCGGCCCCGTCTGACGTCAACGGAAGGCCCGACCTTGTGTCCGCCGCGAGAGTGGGGGCGCCGGCTCCGGAGGGCCGTACCCCACCTCTGCTGGGGAGACACCGAGGCGGGCTGGCGATGTGAAGAGCTGCCGATGAGACTGGGAAGTACTAGTACGAAGTACGCGAAAAATCAATTAGTGGTGAACATTTTTTTGCGGTGCCAAAGCTGGAAAAAGGACCATGCTGGGAGACCACACTGACCGAGCAGGGGCGCTTCAAATTAAGGCCCTCCAAACGACTAAAGACGAGGCCACGTCTTTCGCAAACTGGCAACAAGGCCGGCAAACGGCAATGGCTAACGTTCTGTGTCTAAAACGACAGTTACCTACAATATGGAAGCAGCAAACGGTCTCAGGCCATCCAAAAGGCTTCAGTAAATGTTTGTGAGAATCAGCACAAAATCCAATAGAAACGCTGCAACTTGGTGGCGTCTAAGAAGCTAAAATAAGATTATCTGGATTGTCGAGTCTCCGTTGAATACGGTAATAGGATACAGCTGACAGAGACGCACAACTGTCTGGTTTCCGCGACCGCGAGGAAGCTCCCCATTCAGCCCAGAGCGCCCAGGGGTTGGCATGTCGTGCCGCATAAGAAGATTGTCAACACAAAGCACAGTGTCCGCGAGGGCCGCTGCCGGCGCTTCAGTGTTTTGTCCATGAGGGAGCGGCCCCGTCCCGGGGGGCGGGCGGTGCCAGGTATTGTGGTGCCTATTTTCACCAAGGCCGGTGGTCGGGGCTCACTAAAAAAAGACCACAGCGTGGTGCAGGGACGGCGGCTGGCCGGCCTTCTGAGAGGTGTGGCACGGACTCACCACAGACAAACCTGATGGACAGCTCAAATAATGCCGGTGAACCAGGCGCCGGCGACTTGGTCGGGTGATGGGTACGGTGCCGTCAGCGTCACGGGTGTGAAGTCATAAGGACGTGCCATTAAAAACTATCTGGGGTTCAAACAATAGCTTGTGGTTGAAAGGTGCCTTAAAACGTGAACAAATCATTGCTCGCTTCGAGATAAATCGACCGACCTGCAGCAGGAAGTTTTATATCAGGTCATCACTCATGACCATCACATTAAAATTCGTAGCAACTTTTGAAGCGGAGATAGAACACTTAAGCGTTTAGAAGTTTGAGACACCCCTACCAGAGTGTGAGCCACTTTAAAGGGGTCGAAGAACGTCCAGCCTGTCCGGCTCACGGTCGGCCGACCACCGCGCCGCTGCGGCACGTGTCAAAACTGCGGGACTGGCAGCTTATCAGGCAGACCACATCTGCGCCCCAACCTGCCCAGCACTGCGTCGCCCATAAGTTATCGGAGACGTATACGACTTTGACACTCGGCACGGTGGCCGATAGTGTAATCGATACAGGAAGACTGCGGACCAAGGCTGTCGGTGATACCTCCCTCTGAGCTGGACAGGGAGGTAATCCGCGGACCGCAGAGGGCTGACACCCTCTGCTGGGCGGGGGTTCGGCAGGCAGTTCTTTTCTGTGACATGCCGCGCTCAGCACATAGGGCGGCCGGCACTTCAGATACGACAGCGTGGGACCTTAGGTTAGTTCCGCGCCTGGGACGAAGAAAAAACATTGGATCTCTGACATCCTCAGGTGTTTAACTAGTTGCGTAATACGGCCTGCGCCTCGAGGTGGTTATACTTTAATCCGCATACTTTAATACTGGTTCTGCAGTGTTTTTCTTGTTATCGTTACGTAACAGTAAGTGGATTTTTAACGTACGCTGCAGCCTCGTTAAGCCTTTCAATCGAGCACTGTACAGCCCCAGTTGGATCAGAAGCGTGCAAAACATAGCACCATGTTGTATCTTAACCCGCGCCCCGTAGGGCTACCGGCGGACCCTACCACCCGTAGGGGGGGGGGGGGCCGTTTCGGCCCCCCCCCCCCTAAGATCTCGGAAAGTTACCGGCCGATTTTCAAAATTCAAACGGTGTTTGATAGCCCTACCCGGGAACTACCTTGTGACCAAATTTCATTGACCTAGGTCAAACCGATGACGTCACAGGTCAGGTCAAAGGTCAGATTTTCACCGTTCACAGGCAATTCAAGAAATGTGCTGTGAAATCGAGTAAATTGGTAATTTATTGAAAACCATCGATGGTATATTGTTCGTCAAACACATACTTTGCTATCTGAGGTCACTGATACCAGGTCAGGTCACAGCGAGGTCAGGTCACCGGGGGTCACAATATGAATGTGTCGTGTGATACATGTTTTATGGTCCGTTTTACATGACAAATGCGATTATGTGGGTTAGGCAGCCTTTGGGGCCAGCCTAGGTCACGTTTTGGTGAAGGTCAGGTCAAGGTCAGGTCAAATTAGGTCAAATTTCAAAGTTGATATTTTTGCATAAAATGGGTATCCATTCGATGCAGCTTGTCACGGGGAGTCTAATGGTGGTTTTTGTTTTGCTCTACGAGCTCTAGAATTGCCAAAAATTGAGTTTGAAAATTTGACGTCATCATTTTTGAACAGTTTTTTTCGCTATAACTTGGCCAAAAAACGAGGTATCGATCTGAAATTTGGTATGTAGATAGAAGACGGTAGGTACTATCACATATATTCCGGTTTTTTTCGAAACTCAAAAAACTTTTTGGATTTTTTGGCTAATATATCCAAAAAAATGCTTTTTTGATTTTTGGGGATCAAAACTCAAAAATTTCAAAAATCCGAGATAGCAGTTTTGTAGCCCTGTCAATTCTACACCTTTTATGTCTTGATCATTTTTCTGTATCTTCAAAGCTGTAGGCCTGACAGGTCTTCTCGCGAAGGTCTTTTTTCGGTCGAAAATGACAGAACATGACGTCACTCTGACGTCATTTGTGGCCAACCTATCACAGCCTCTGGAAAAATTTTTGGTCACAATGTGTAAAATTGATGCCCGGAGGGGTCCTGAAAGTTTGGTGGCGATATCTCCAGCCGTTTAGGAGATATCGACCGAAAAGGACAGGGGGGGGGGGCGTTTCGGCCCCCCCCCCCCCTACGGGGCGCGGGTTAATTTGTATTAACGTTACCTACCTCAGTATCAAACACAATCTCGTAAGAATGCCTAGTTAACCACGTCTCTCACCAGCTACAGCAGAGTTTTGTCATTTTCTCATTCATCTTGATTCCCGAGAAACCATATGACCCGTCGAAGATGCAATCATGTTGCTGTCACGGCACAAGGACGGGAGTACGGATAAGGACAATATGGGAGGCTGCAGGGACGCCGTAAGCACGAAAAGGCCAGTGTTATCAGGTGCAAATATAATCCGGAGGGAGCTGCTATCGGTGGTGCCGCTTTCGGCTTGTTGTCGCCTGGATTACAGCTGAAAATTACCGACACCCAATTTACAACTGGCGCTGTCAAAAATACTATATTATCAGATGAACACTAATTGATGTACACTAATTAATAAGAGTTCGTAGCCGGATCTCCGTAATTTGCGCGCTAATTAGGAAAACTGTGTAGAGTGCATGCTTCAATAATTGTTCAACCAACTAATAAAAACATTGAAATAAACGGCTTTATGTATTAGTAGTCTTTCGCCAATACTATATCGCCAGAGGGAATTTCGTGCATTACGGATTTAACAATTACTTACGGCATATTATACATGAGCAAGTAAATGCTCATTAAACACGGATTTTTCACTGAGCATCGGCCACAAATCCCTGAATAATGGCATGCCATTTGCAGCTCTTGAGTCTCAACTATTCGTTTCTCTAACCAAACGTGTCCATTTTATATTATATGACCTTCGGCAGTGAGTGGCTTCGTGTGTGAAAATAGCAACATTTCGATGATTTCGAAACACCAAATATCCTTTCTTGGAGGATGCGTTTATGTAATATAAAAAGATGAAAACATATCTTCCCTCGACAAAACAGTTGGGAAACTAATGCCAGCACTTTACAAGTGTGTCTTATCTTTGTAGAGGAGCCGGACAAATGCTTCCCCTTAGAAGTTATGTTATGTCAGTACCAAACTGAGGTATTCTGAGCAACCCCCGGGTGTAGGCGATTTACAGTGTGAGCGGCCGGTGTGCGCGCTCGGGTGACGGTGCTGCCGCCGGCCCGCCGGGCGGCGCGCTCACCTGTGCCGCTGGTCCCGCTCCTGCTGGTGCCGCTCCCGCTCCTGCGGGTCCCGCTCGGCGTGCCGCTCCCGCTCCCGCTCCTGCGGGTCCCGCTCGGCGTGTCGCTCCCGCTCCTGCTGGTCCCGCTCGGCGTGCCGCTTCTGACGCTGCTCCTCGCGGGCCTTCAGCTCCTCGGCGCGACGGCTCTCCTGCTCCTTCATCCTCTGCCGGCCAGAAACGCGGAAACACGTCAGAAACTGCGCGGAAACAGCACTACTTAGGGCAATAGTTAGCTTCACCGGTTATCCGAGCTTCACCACCATACGCCAAGCTCACAGATCGTCCAACACGTGCACGATAGAGCATTAGACGATTTCACGCCACAGGCGGGCAGAAGTGAGTGTGACTCCCATACTGACCGCAGAATCTGACATTCTGCACTGAAGCGATTGAAACCAGCGATAAATCGGTGAACACTTAAACCCTCTCAGATCGACGACCTTCCCAGTAGGATGCATTCATTTCCAAAGGCATGTGCGCGCAGGGCTACTACAAAGCCCGTGGATAACCGAATCCAGGCACAAGTTCACAGCATATCCGTTACCGTAAGGCGGTACAAAGATCTGGGCTCCAATAAGCGGCAGGAGGCCGGCTCACCGCGGCTCGGAGGTCGCCGGCAGGCTGCGGGCGGCGGTCTCACCTCAAACTGGCTCAGTTTGATGGTGCGCTTCTGGGCGACGCGCCAGTGGGGCGGCGTGCGGCTGCGGGACCTGGCCATCTCAGGATCATAGCGCTGTCACAGACAGCAGGCAGGTCAGCAGACAGATATCACAGACGGCAGACAGGTCAGTAGACAGATATCACAGACAGCAGGCAGGTCAGCAGACAGATATCACAGACAGCAGGCAGCTGCCACAGACATTAAGCAGCTACCAACGGCGGCAGACAGTAAATCACAGACAGTGGACAGCTACTTAAGACATTATGCAGCTACCACAGACAGTAGACAGCTACCACACACAGTAGGAGGTTACCGCAGACAGTTATGAACAACTAACACAGACAGTATGCACACAGTTATACGCAGACAGTATGAGTATGATTAGACAGCATGATTATGAATCTATGGCACAGCTAACCGCCTAGACACAATTTCATCGAAATCTGAGAGGTGGGGTGTTTTGGCTTGTTCGATCTGCTGTGGAACACCCCAGCTACCCCAGACAGTAGGCAGCTACCGCAGACAGTAGCTGCCGCAGACAGCTTCCACAGACGGTAGGTGGCTGACCACAGACAGTATGCAGCTACCGCAGACAGTGGGCAGCTACCGCAGACAGTAGCTGCCGCAGACAGTAGGCGGCTACCGCAGACAGTAGCTACCACAGACAGTAGGTGGCTACCACAGTTAACAAGCAGATACAGCATGGTAGGCCGGGGCGGCAACTTACAACGAAACCTCCAGACGTGCTACCAGACAGCATCAAACTCGCACAGCCAGTGAGCCCGAGCCGAACCCAGGCTGATTTCACCTCTACTCGGATAACATTGAGATAGAAATACGGTTGGATATTGTGTGGATGGGGAAACATTGGCCAGCCCGCAGTCAGAGCCAGCCTGCAGTCAGCTGTGTATAATATAGGTGTGGTTCTGCGTGCCATAATTATCGACCGATGCCGATGGGGTAGCGCGCGGTGGGCGGTGGGCACCGTACCGCCATTCGGGCTGGGTATGTGTTGGATAGGGACGGGCGGTGGGGCACCGTACCGTCATTTGAGCTGAGTATGTGTTGGATAGGGACGGGCGGTGGGGCACCGTACCGTCATTTGAGCTGGGTATGTGTTGGGGAAGGGACGGGCGGTGGGCACCGTACCATTCTTCGGGCTGGGTATGTGTTGGGAAGGGAACGGGCGGACGTGGGCACCGTACCATCCTTCGGGCTGGGTATGTGTTGGGAAGGGGACGGGCGGTGGGCACCGTACCGCCATTCGGGCTGGGTATGTGTTGGATAGGGACGGGCGGTGGGCACCGTACCGCCATTCGGGCTGGGTATGTGTTGGATAGGGACGGGCGGTGGGGCACCGTACCGTCATTTGAGCTGGGTATGTGTTGGGGAAGGGACGGGCGGTGGGCACCGTACCATTCTTCGGGCTGGGTATGTGTTGGGAAGGGACGGGCGGTGGGCACCGTACCGCCATTCGGGCTGGGTATGTGTTGGATAGGGACGGGCGGTGGGGCACCGTACCGTCATTTGAGCTGGGTATGTGTTGGGGAAGGGACGGGCGGTGGGCACCGTACCATTCTTCGGGCTGGGTATGTGTTGGGAAGGGGACGGGCGGACGTGGGCACCGTACCATCCTTCGGGCTGGGTATGTGTTGGGAAGGGACGGGCGGTGGGCACCGTAACATCCTTCGGGCTGGGTATGTGTTGGGAAGGGGACGGGCGGTGGGGCACCGTACCGTAATTTGAGCTGGGTATGTGTTGGGGAAGGGACGGGCGGTGGGCACCGTACCATTCTTCGGGCTGGGTATGTGTTGGGAAGGGGACGGGCGGACGTGGGCACCGTACCATCCTTCGGGCTGGGTATGTGTTGGGGAAGGGACGGGTGGTGGGGCACCGTACCATCCTTCGGACTGGGTATGTGTTGGGAAGGGACGGGCGGTGGGCACCGTACCGTCAGTCGGGCTGGGTATGTGTTGGGGAAGGGACGGGCGGTGGGGCACCGTACCGTCATTTGAGCTGGGTATGTGTTGGGGAAGGGGACGGGCGGTGGGCACCGTACCGTCATTCGGGCTGCGTATGTGTTGGGGAAGGGACGGGCGGTGGGGAACCGCACCGCCATTTGAGCTGGGTATGTGTTGGGAAGGGACGGGCGGTGGGGCACCGTACCGTCATTTGAGCTGGGTATGTGTTGGGGAAGGGGACGGGCGGTGGGCACCGTACCATTCTTCGGGCTGGGTATGTGTTGGGGAAGGGGACGGGCGGTGGGCACCCTACCATCCCTCGGGCTGGGTATGTGTTGGGAAGGGACGGGCGGTGGGCACCGTACCGCCATTTGAGCTGCAGAGTGGAGGCAATCGGTCGTATGTGTTGGGGAGGGGGAGTTACTGCGCTGCGATCAGTCGGAGACAGGAGCGAAGTACGGGCGATACCTTTTTGCACTACATCCGCTATAATTTCAGTAACTACAATTCAAAACGAACACATGTCAGCTTCATACACAGCAGCTGCACAAAAAAAAATTGTGCCAAAACATATGATTTTGAATGGGTTATAATAACACATTGAAGGCTTCAAGCCTCTACTAAATCATCAAATGTTAGGTTCAAAGCCTCACAATACAATACAGTAGTCCAAATGAAGTGTTGAAGTTCAGGACGCTGGCGCAGTGCTTTGATCCCATCCCGGCCTGGCCCAATGTGGGCGGCGTCATCATCAGCCTCTTATCAAACAGCTAGCCTATCACTCACCAGAAAGCCGCGCCCTTTGACCTTTTTTCCGGCGCGTATTTCGGTGCGCGAGCGGCGTCGCTGTCGGCTGCGCGAGTCGTCGCCGCGGTCCCGGTCGCCGCGGTCGGGGCGGTCGCGGTCGCCGCGGTCCCGGTCGGGACGGTCGCGGTCGGGACGGCCGCCGCCGGACCGCTCCAGGAAGCGGTTCTCGGGCACGGCCGGGATCTCGTCCGGGTCGATGGCGGTGGTGGTGGTGAGCGGGTGCTCGCCGCCGGCCGGCTCCTCCGCCCCCTCGGCCGGCTCCGGCGCGCTGCGGGCGGCACGGACGGCCGACGGTCAGGCCGACGGCGCAGGGACGGCGAGCCAGCGGCCGGTACAGGGAACGAAGGGCCTCCGCCGCTGCACCAGCCCGTCACTGAACTCAGTCATGGGCAGTCATAAAGCAGACCTTCTCTGCCCGGCAAAGCCGGGGCAGAGACCTTCTCTACGGTGCGCTTGAAAATGCAATAAATTGCCATTTAAACGAATCTGGTTCTACGGTTCAGCACTGGCAAAGCCGGGGAAGAGGAAGAAATCCCCCCCCCCCCTGTCTTCTTCCCTCGATATCTCCTAAAAAGGTAATGCAGATATCGCACCCAGACATTCAGTAGGTAGGTACCTCTTCCGGTATCACCTTTATACAGGTTGTGCAAAAAAAAAATCGGGAATGCCCTAAAACCTTGTCTCGTTAATCAGCATGCATTAATTGGGCTCAATGGTACAACGAACTTACGGCACTTTCTCCTTAGCATGCTTATCTTTCTTGTCTTTTTTGCTTTTCTTCTTTTTGCCTTCCTCCGATGACGCGCTCCGGTCCCGTTTCTTCTTCTTCTTTTTGTCTGTAAGGACACCCAAAATAAAGGCAGATTTCAGTTTCATTATTCGAAATTGGAAATCAAAATCTCCTAACTGAAACTAGTGCAAGTTTGGTAAGCAAGTTTATCAATGTCATAGCAGCGACTTTTGGTGCCTAATGGACTGAATAGCGATTGCTTGCGGATACCTTATAGCATACAAATTTATATTCATTCTACTTATTCATTCTATTTAATCCGTTCATTCTATACCTTATATTTCTGTTCATTTTTATTCAAATCACATCAAAAGATACATAGAATAGAAAGCTGTCTGGGAGCAGCATGCCAACATTGCTGTCTCTGAAGGGCAAGTCTTGCTCACTGCTGACCGGAAGATTATCCAGGAATATATGTAGGTACGAGGGCAGGTAGAGGCCGCAGACGCCGACACCACTGGCCGCCATACACGTCTACTCCCCGTGACACGGCGGCATATGTAACGGACGGTTATACACGGAGCGTGGGGCGTCAGAGCCGCCTCGGACTACCCGCACCACTGCCGTACCGCCACTGACGGCGGCGCACCCTGCAGCCCGGGACGGACGGGCCGTACCACTGCCGTACCGCCACTGACAGCGGCGCACCCTGCAGCGGCCTCGGACGGCCCACACTACTGCCGTACCGCCACTGACAGCGGCGCACCCTGCAGCGCCGTACCACTGCCGTACCGCCACTGACAGCGGCGCACCCTGCAGCGCCGGACGGACCGCCCGTACTACTGCCGTACCGCCACTGACGGCGGCGCACCCTGCAGCGCCGGACAGACGGGCCGCCCCACTGCCGTACCGCCACTGACAGCGGCGACAGCGGCGCACCCTGCAGCGCCGGACGGGCGGCCCGTACCACTGCCGTACCGCCACTGACAGCGGCGGACGGACTACTGCCGTACCGCCACTGACAGCGGCGCACCCTGCAGCGCCGGACGGCCCGCGCCACTGCCGTACCGCCACTGACAGCGGCGCGCCCTGCAGCGCCGGCCCGCCCCACTGCCGCACCGCCACTGACAGCGGCGCACCCTGCAGCGCCGTACGGACTACTGCCGTACCGCCACTGACAGCGGCGCACCCTGCAGCGCCGGACACCGGTACCACGCCCACACCGGTACTGACACTGGCTGCGGAGGGGTGTCAGGTGCTTGTGATAAGACGGCCCTACGTCTGTTTCCCCGCCACATCCGAGTCACGGGCCCGGCGACCAGATGAGTCACCCTTGTGTGTGGTCTGCAGCAGCAGTGGTGCGGACTGCGCGCTCACCCTTGTGTTTGGTCTGCAGCACCAGCTGGCCGCAGCGGGCCACGCGCACGTCCTGCAGTGGGCGCGACTTGTTGTCCGTGGGCACGGCCTCCACCTGGGAGACCACTTCCTGGCCGGACACCACTTGGCCAAACACTACGTGGACGCTGCCGGCGGACGGGGGGGGGGGGGGGGGGGGTCAGCGCGCCGGCCGGACCGCAGCGGCCGGTGTGGCGACACAGCGGCGAGATACAGGACCAACACACACGGCATAATGCTCAACTGACACCCAATTCAAGGTATGATAATTCATACCTAGGCTGAGAGGTAACGGAGACTCGGCATGATCTACGTTTAGTAACGTTAAGATATGATCAAAACATCGACGACAAAAAATATCTGAGCAAGTTTAATATCATATCAGATATGTTATTGCATTTGGTCCATTAAATTTACGTTGGAGCGACTACACGGCAGTGCGCTGTTGTTTCGGCGGCGGAACTCACCCATTGAGATGTGGAGCGGGCTGAGTTGTTCTACAACGACAAAACAAACGGTTGGCACACGGTAAACCTCCAGGACAGCTCACACGCTACGCAGAGATGAAACCGATCAGCGTGTGTTCAGTGGCGGTCATACAGAGACACGGCACTGCTGTCACTGTGTCCGTGACGGGTCAGCAAAAACAGCAGGGAACAAATACAGTCAGTAGTGAGAAGTAGCCGAAAATCAGTATCATCTAAATTTAGCAGCGTCATCACCTGATGACCCTCAATGTATAGGTATAAATCAAACCAACAGTCTGCAATCAAATCGCTGGACCACACTTTAATTTCGAATTCATCATCCTCAAAATATCAGCACATTAACATGCTAACTAGATAGCAGATTCGTGCTGGTTGTTCGTTAACGCTAATGCACCGATATTGAGAGCTGACGAAGTCGACCGGGGTTTTCGACGTTACAAAGGGGCGGCCGTAGCCAGTGCACTGTCAGGGCTGCTCACAGGAAAAACTGCGAGCCGTTCGTGTCCTTCCCGCGGTTGGCCATCGACAGCAGGAACGGACGGTCGTGCTCCAGCTCGAAATTCTCATCTGCAAAAAAAAAAAACAATAATTCGACATCTCATTGTCATGTACGGTCTACCTAGATCCTATGGATAGCTTCCAGGAGATAGGAAGCAGAAGCTGCACCGTTCGCCGCTACTGACGTCTAATGAGCCGCGGTACACCGTCAAAGGTGCCACCGTACGCTGCCACTCACGTCTCACCGTCAAATATGTCGCTAAACGCTGTTAAATGTGCCCTGAAAGCCGCCACTCACCGTCGAAGGTGCCGCTCAAAGCCGCCACTCACCGTCGAAGGTGCCGCTGAAAGCCGCCACTCACCGTCGAAGGTGCCGCTCAAAGCCGCCACTCACCGTCGAAGGTGCCGCTGAAAGCCGTCACTCACCGTCGAAGGTGCCGCTCAAGCCGCCACTCACCGTCGAAGGTGCCGTTCAAGCCGCCACTCACCGTCGAAGGTCCCGCCGTAGATGGATTCGCCGCCGGTGCCGTTGCCGGCGGAGAAGTCGCCGCCCTGGATCATAAAGTCGCGCACGATGCGGTGCAGCTTGACGCCCTGGTAGTGCAGCGGCTTCTGAGTGCGCTCCCCCAGGCCCCTCTCCCCGGTGCAGAGGGCGCGGAAATTCTCCGCCGTCCGAGGGCACACATCGCTGAACAGCTCGAACACCACTCGGCCCAGCGGTACGCCGTCCACCTCCAAGTCGAAGAAGCAGCGCGACCGCGCCTCCGACTTCACCGGCATAGTGGCAAGGCTGCAAAACAAACCTCGTCAGTTGCACAGTGTTGATGGTGGGGCACTGAGATCTGGCCATGGCAGATCAGGTTATCTCTGAAAGGCACAGAAAGTGGCGGATAAAAGAATATTAGAAAGCAAATTACCTTCAAATGATTTTGAAAGGGATGACACAGACAATAGGCACATCTCTTTTTGACACAACTTATCCTACCCCTCTTTATGCATTGGGGTGATAAGCAAGTTCCCAATGATGAGTTACCAGATGAGTTACACACAAAGTATTAACTCGCGCACCGACGGGGTCCGCGCCAACTTAGAACCGACGGGGGGGATATCATCCCCCCTGAGATCTCGAGAACAGAGCAAGTTAGCGAAAAGTCGTAAACGGCGTGGGGTACACACGGACAAGGTCTACAATTTTTACTCCAGTCAGGTCAACAATGACGTCACAGGGGTAAAGAAAGTCAAAATAGCTGTGCTAGATATGAAGTTATTTTTAATAACTTTCGAAGTAGCCAAGCTAGGAACAGACTAATAGCACCATCGTGATCCTTTCGTCGATCCGCATCGAGACATAAGCCTCGAAAGGTCAAGGTCAAAGGTTGACCTCAGATTACATGACCTCAAGGTCATTATGCATATCATTTTATGCGCCTTGACGAGCTGAACACAATGAGACCATCAGCGCGGCTGTATCTCGTTCCTGTAAGAAGTTATTAGCAAAAAAACATTTGGTGACCTTTGATAACGTCTCATGACCTTACAGTTGCTCAAGAGCAAAAAGAGCATCAAGGTAGTCAAAGTTAATCGTATATGAAGTCATTCATGGTATATTAGTCCATTCTGATGCGTTGTGAAAAAATCAGGCAGTTGATTGACTTACAATGGGGAGGTCAAGAAATTGATTTGACCTTAGGTCATTGATATAAAAATTCTGAGATACAAATTGTAGCTACCAATGACCTCATTATATCCTGCAACTTTCAAAGGACTCTGTCATCTACTGTAACTCTGACATGGTGACAAACTTGCGAAAAAGTGATTTGAGGTCAGGTCATTCAAAGTGACCTAGTGACTTCAGCTTGAAAGGTAGGAGGTTCAAACGTGCAAACAATGTGTACAATTGATGGGGATTAGGGGAATACTCATGCCAAATTTTGCTCCTCAGTTTTGAGTTTCGCAGGTTAAGTAGTAAGTAGGTACCTGGTACTGTGAAGGAGTATAAGCCACAGGTCTGTAATTACCTTTTATGGCAAGTCAATTATTCAAAATAGTTTATATTAGGACCAATTTTTTCAACCAATGTGTGACCAATCAATGTGTGACCAATTGGTCCTAATATAATTTATTTTGAATAAATTGACTTTTGCCATACATGTCAGTATGAGCTTAACCGATTACCTTTTAGCTAAGTCCTGGCTCTTTGTGTCTGTTCATCTATGTAGTTGTCTGTGTATCTGCCATGAATGATCTGAGCCCATGGTGACAGTCGGCACTGATACTGTTTTGAACTCTTCAGACACTAGACAGTGTCAGCGGAAAAGTGGTTTGGTGAAGTAAGTTTAGGCAAAAAATTTATTTTTTACTTACAGAACATTTTTTGAAAAATGTAGCAACAAACTTTGCGACAGTACACAGACAACTCATAGCCTGTGGCCATGTCGATTCAATGTGATTTATTTGTTAGCGGACCCTTTTATCATTTATGCATCTTGAATTGTTGCTTTTACCATAGATTATTTTATCTCAACAGTGCTTTGCTCCAGTGCCATTCTTTTGGAGTGGGCTGGATGCCACATTTGCATTTCAATATCGAATGGGGAGGTGTCAGTGACACTGCGGAGTGCGGAGTCCGCAGTGCGGACTTCGAGACTCCCAAGTAGCTCGAAACTAAGAGGAGTACGTGGATTTATTAAGCGGATTCTACTGAACTTAACTGAACTGGACAACCAAACACAAATACCTGTCTTAAAAATAATGCATCATAACTCATAAGTCATAACATATCAATATTTACACTGTAAATATTACCACCTTTCAGCATTCCACGTCGGCGTTGGTTGGTTGGTTGGTTTTGGGTTAAGCACCACATCCAGTGGACCAAGGTGCTAACCGGAACTCTCACGCTGTTCCAAGCGGTCAGGTAGCGGCAATGCCACGTGCATTGCCCGGGAATCGAACCCGGATGGCCGAATCTAGAGGCAAGTATCTTACCCCTAGACCGGAATGCTCCCCAAACACGTCGGCGTCTATCAACATAAAACACCGTGCGTCGTTTTCGTAAAAAAGCACGACGCAAGGTTTTACTAATGTCTAATAGTTGATTTCGTTTTGGCAGCTGATCACCTAATGACGTCAAGGAAAGAAAATAATTGCATTGGGCTTCGCATCGGGGGACTATTAAAGCATCCAAGAGCGCAGCATCCAAAATACGCAACAACCAAAACCGCAGCATCTAGTGATCAAAACCTCCAAATAACATCCAAAATCGGCCCTTTTGGGAGCATTCAGAGCATCCAAGAGCGAAACATCCAAGGATGCAGAATCCAAAACCGTATCATCCAAAATGGCAGCACGAGAATATCTGAGAATCGTATCATCCAAAGACGGTTCATCCAAGAGAGAAACATCCAAGCATGCAACATCCAGAATCGTATCATCCAAAACAATACAGAAAAGATGGATCCACTCAAGAGACTCAGTAGCACCACCTGGCATATTTGTTATAAACTATTAGTTTTAGGCTCGCTTGACAGGTGGCGAATGCGTCGTGTTTAGCGGCACATCTTCACGATGTGACGTCACTAGGTAATATGACGCCACTAGGTATTATACAATCATGGGTGGAGAACCTGCCCCGGCCACCCCGGCCGTGGCCGGGGTAACTTTCAGCCGACCCCGGCGCGGCCGGGGTAACTTTTTCCACTTTTGTAAATCCTAAAAGCTGTCTCCATACGAAAAAACTGCCATCTATAAAAGCGTCTCTCATTATTCTTATCTACCTACCTTGAAAAGTTCTTGAAAATTAACTTTATTTTCATTTTGGAGCTTCTATGTTTCTATGTCTTTTCATCGCGGAGCCCGACATGTTTCATCAAACAGAAGTAAAGCATATTTTGAGGGCCGTTATCGTAAGATGGCACTGTAATAACATCACAAGACAGGACGAGGGTAATATCAGTAAGATAGAAGGACGAGCTGCTGGAGCTCAAGGCTCCCCCAACTTAAGCCGCGCCAGGGTGGTGGCCTTATCGTAACACGTTGAGTCGAGAGGTGGGCTTTTCACGCTCCTTCTAACTCGGCTACTGGGCTACGAGGCGAGAAGCGGAACGACGTTTGAAAGAGCGACAAACGTGATCAGAGAAATCTGGTCATGTTTTAGCATAGGCGTAGGAACAGGGGGGGCCGGGGGGGCCATGGCCCCCCCACTTTCGGAGGTGGGGGGGCCAGCAATGTTAACTGGCCCCCCCACTTTTTGCTGACTTAAGTGTCTGTCTGTACCTACCACCCGGTAACTTGACAACTATTCAGCTTGCCCTTTGAAGATTCCCTTGTGTTTCTACAGCGTTATTGACCGCAATTTCCCTCACTCAATGAAGGAAACCATATCAGAGACAAGACTGTGAGTCCTGGTGACAGCATTTTGTTGAATACCAAGGCCGTATATAGGCCTTGGTATTCAACTGGTATATAGGTTGAATACGAGGCGCGGGACAGCGAGCACTGAAAAGGTATAATGGCCCTTTCACACGTAGCAACTTTTCCGGTCGCCGGCGACGGCAACTGTCGCCGGCGATCGCCAGCGACCGGGTCAGTCGCCGGCGATCGCCAGCGACCGGGGTCAGTCGCCGGCAACTCCGCAGTTGTCGATATCAGCTGACCAGTCGCCGGGGTGTGACGTAGCAGTCGTGTCAGCCAATCATTGAAGAGTTGTCGGCGTTGCCGAGAAAGTTCAATTTTTCCAACATTTTGAAGTCGCCGGCGACTGTTCTAGCCAGCCGCCGCTCAACTGTCACGTGACCCGCTTGACCTTGAGTTGGCACCAGATATTGCGCTGCTGATACATGCAGCGGCGCAGCTTATTTTACTGCATTATTCAAGGTACTAAATATTTGGACGTGTTTTGCAGGATGATAACTACCGTCTAGGTAATATTGGAATAATATTTATTAGATCTATTATTGAAACAATACATAATATCAATGAAAATACAATCAAACTGCGATTCTTCTACATTGGAATTCAATGCACTCAAGCATAAAACTGAAAAGTGATGTGTACTTGCAGTTCCTCCATTTTTCCTAACGCATCAGCCAAGATTACGAGTGCTGCAGATTTTGCTCACCTGTCTTGTTTATTCAACTACAACCCTGTTCTCAATAAATGAATAACTTCGCTGTAACGACATTAGCATTGAAGGAATGGTTGGTGGTAAGCATGGGACAATCACAGTGATTTGTGGTCACACATTTGAACCGTGCTTTGTATGTGAAAAACAGAAAAAAGGCATTCTAGAAATGTAGCAGAAATTCAAATGCCAGAAACGGACCTGAGGAACGGCGAAGCCTACCACCCACATAAAACACAGGCTTTCATTATGTCAAAAACAGATGCTGTATTATCTAAAGCGCTGGATTGGGGAACACAAGTGTACCCCCCCCCCCCCTTATAACAAAATGCATTTTTCCACACAGTGGATATCACTAAACATGGCGAGGTGACAGTATATGACACCATACGCGCAACCACATAAAAATGCAGCACGCGCGGACACGGGGCAAGGACGGTGGCACAATATGCCGATACCCAAGAAGACACAAGCCTAGGTCAAAGGTCAAAGGTGACAATACTGTGACAGAAATCTTAAAATCAGCCTGGACACAGCTCACTCTTCATGACCGTTTTTATCGAAAATAGACCAACAAAACACCAAGGCTCCTTCGTCCAAAACTCAAAACTCGACATGCCGCTCCAAAGGCCTTGCAAAACAGCGCACACCAACAACGCATAATAGCCAGCAACGCACACGACAGGATTTTCGAGGCCCGAGTCGTCAGCCGCCGCCGCCGCCGCCACCTCCCGGCAGCTGATTGCTGAGTGCCTTGCTCCTTGCCCCCGATCGTGGCGACCTCTTTACTCTGGCAGAATCGACCCTACCGAGCGGCGACAGCATTCAGAAGCAAAATGACAAATGAATTCACTGCACTTATGTCAGAAAATCGACTGCACATGCCATGGTCACACGCGGTGCCGTCCACGGGGCCGGCAGAAGCTGCACACTGTCACCGAACACCACCTGCACCTTGGACGCAGTATGTGAGGGCTTGGCGGACGCGCGCCGCCTCGCGTGCGGTATTGGCATCAAGGCCCGGACACGAGGGAGCACACTCGGCGCAATCAGAGCACACCGTCCGGGGCCGTCAGTGTCGATCTCCTGACCTCACAGAAAGTTGTGCAGCACACAGGTGAACGCCGTCAGTGTGGTGACTGGTGCGCAGCACACCGTCCCACGGAAGATCGTCTGTGGGCCGTGGTGCAGATGCTGTCTCTAGGCAGAGTCAACAGTGCAGTGGCAGAAGTTGAACATTCAGCTGCTAGACTCCTTTTCGGGTCAGCAATGCCGTCGAGTTGGCCATCAGGTGGTGTTGCAGAATCATCAGGTACTCTTGATCAGGTACATCAGGTACAGAACCTCTTGACTCATCAGGTAACGCTGTGACTTGTCTGCCAGGCACAGAGGGCGGACATGTCAGAACATACCTCAAATACATTTTTAAAAATCATTTTTTAACCAAAAGCTCTGCAAATTAGGAAGCCTGGAATAGGCTATTGCTTAGCATCATAAAAACTACCCAAATACCCAAATCAGGTTAGGCTTGGTTTACCCAAATACCCAAATCAGGTTAGGTTTGGTTTTTACACTTCAGGCTAAAATGAGAACTATCTTAGCATCATTATCCTTGATGTAGCATTGTTGATGCTTTTTGTCTTGTACAATTGGCAATCAGTATTCAGTGACACAGAATTGGAATTTGTGGTTCAGAAACCTAGCATTATTTGAAATAATAGCATTTTAGCAGTGCTCATTCTTTTTGAAAGCAATTGTATTTTTTAATATAATTTTCTAGGTAATTCAATTCCTACTGAATATGGTTATGAGACCATTGTTACTAATTTTGGTATTATTAAGGCAGCTGTAGCATGAGTGGCCATATGCTGTAGAGACTGGAGTGATTAAAGTCACTAGAGGCTTGAGGGTTTTTTTAGACATTATGCAGCAGCCTGCAGGGAGATATGCAGAGGCAAGTCTAGGCACCACCAGAAGGGGGACAAGCAGTCAGCACAACACACAGCGGGCACAAGGGGAGAAGATTGTAAAAACTATTGCCTGGATCCACCTCTGTGGACATCCTCAGGCATGCCTCTGTGGACATCTCGGCTGCTGCATGTAAAAAAGTATCAAGCCTCTAGTGACTTTTTCCACACTGCAGCAAATGCCCGCTTATTCTTGGTCTGCTCTACCTTCCTCCAATTATGAGTTTTGTGTGAAAATGACATTTTTACATTGGTGGAGCTTGTGTGCGCATGGTACACATAAGCCATGCCGGCAGCATTGCTGCAATGAATAGGAAACAGCTCCAGGGCCAAAATACATACCACCTAATACCTTGCCAAAATACATGACATACCTACCACCTACTGTGCATAATGCAATTATTTATGTACTAATAAGCCATGGATTATCATTTGCCATGTGAGCACGCACACACATGCGAACCCAATGCGGATTAAGTTTGGCCTGGGTTGTTTATCCATGGTACCAAGGAAAACTCCAGCAGAAACAATAACAAAATTGCAAAGCTACCTGTTTGATTTTGATCATGCTAATTAATGAGCAGCAATATAATATTTTGTTGCTATCAAATATTTCCTTGTGTCGCACGAATAGGTAGGCAAATAGCTGACTGATAGGTAGGCACTTTGTCCTCAAGGGCACTGATACTGAATGTAAACAATGTTCTTGTGACACAACAAGCAAGTTTTCATTACCTTATGAAACTAGTGTCAATTTCAATGTCATTAAAATATTCAATTTTGATGAAAAAATGCATATTTATCACAAATAAAAATCATGGGTGATCATGGGCAAGTGCGCCACAAATGACATAAACCCTCCAATATTGTCGAATCAAGCTTAAATTCAAGTCACAACAGCTTCACGACAGGCAAACTACAAGATAATAATCCCTATGCTA